CCCTCTCTCTACCCTCTCCCTCTCTCTTTCCTTCTACCTTCTCTCTATCCCTCTCTGTCTCCTATCTGCCAGCTCTCTCTCTCTCTCCCTCTCTCTCTCTCTCCCTCTCTCTCCCCCTCTCCCTCTCTCTCCCCCTCTCCCTCTCTCTCCCCCTCTCCCTCTCTCTCTCCCTCTCCCTCTCTCTCCCTCTCCCTACCCTCTCCCTCTCTCTTTCCCTCTACCTTCTCTCTCTCCCTCTCTGTCTCCTATCTGCCAGCTCTCTCTCTCCCTCTCTGTCTCCTATCTGCCAGCTCTCTCTCTCTCTCTCTCTCTCTCTCTCTCTCTCTCTCTCTCTCTCTCTCTCTCTCTCTCTCTCTCTCTCTCTCTCCCTTTTCTCTCTCCCTCTCCTTCTCTCTCCCTCTCCCTCTCTCCTCCCTCTCCCTCTCTCTGCTCTCTCCCTCTCTCTACCCTCTCCCTCTCTCTATCCTCTCCCTCTCTCTACCCTCTCCCCTCTCTCTACCCTCTCCCTCTCTCTACCCTCTCCCTCTCTCTACCCTCTCCTCTCTCTTTCCCTCTAGCTTCTCTCTTTCCCTCTAACTTCTCTCTCTCCCTCTCTCTGCCCTTCCTTCTCTCTACCCTCTCTCACTCTCTACCCTATCTACCCTTTCCCTCTCACTACTATCTCTTTCTCTCTCCGTCTCTCTACCCTTCCCTTTCTCTACCCTTTCCCACTCTGTACTCTTTCTACCCTCTCTGTCTCTTGCTCTACCCTCTCTCTCTCTCTTTCTCTCTATCCTCCCCCCCCCCCCCTCTCTCTCTCTCTCTCTCTCTCTCTCTCTCTCTCTCTCTCTCTCTCTCTCTCTCTCTCCACCCTCTCCCTCTCTCCAGACGAGGTCAGATATAATCGTTATCTAAGTCTAAGTTCCATATTGACTTCATGATCCACGTGGTCTATTGCTCAACAATCAACCCCAGGACTGGCCGGACACGCGACACCGTGCTCAACTCTTACCCTAAGACGTTACACACACACACACACAATATATATATATATATATATATATATATATATATATATATATATATATATATATATATATATATATATATATATAATGATAATAATAGTAATTACAATAAAAGTTATAGTTATAATGATCAATGATTATAATAATAATAATGGTCATAGTAAAAAAGATGGTGATAATCATAATAATGATGATGATATTAAAAATAGTAATGATAATGATTATGATAATGATAATAATAACAAAAATAAAAATAATAGGCTTTACCTTCAGCGCCAAATACAATTATTTCAAGTTTTGTGGGCGAAGCATCAATGCTGCCGAAAACCCATCGAGTCGTCTCACACACAGCGTCCCGTGCCCCATTGGGTTGTTTACATATACAAGTTATAACATGATTACTATGGCAATTGAGTTTTGAATAGTTTGCACCCAAACTCAGTGCCATACCACATGCTAGAATTATGAGGTATAACATAATTGATCTAAAAACAACTATTTTGCTGCAACTGCTTAAATTACTTGAGTGACTTGAGTGTATATTTCTACCATGCCATATCGCGACACCTCAAGCCACAGTAATTTTTTTTATTGAGGTTTTGAAAATTTTCATTTTAAAATTTTGTGTAATTTCAAAATTTTATTTCTATTTCTTCCGCATATAAATCCTCAGTGGAAATGTCCCGTAAAGAAAGAAAATGCCTCAGAAGAGAATTTCATATTTATTTTATTTCCTACCTCCTACTTCCTACTTCCAGAAAATCTGCTCGCTAAACAATAAAAAAAAAAATTGCAGTGGCCTTAAAACTAAAGTACGGATACATAAAACCTACCACTGGCGCGGCACTTCGCATTTGCCACGTGTGACTTACGTGCCATGTCAAGATTAGACTTACCCCTTTTTTTCTTTTTTTTTTTGTTTCTTTTTTTTGTTTCTTGCAACCTCCCACCTTAGCGAGTCAGATTTTAATGGAGTTTTTACGTGTAAAGTTATTAGCCATTTTAATATATACTTTTTAAATCCTTAAAACTTAAAATATAAATATATGGCATACACAGAGTAGATTTGAAGTGTCTAGAATGATACCGCCAAACACATTTGATAACACGGCTTCGTTCATCCAGTGAGCAAGGCTTTGGTTGAGAGGGTAACCACCGGTAACCTTGGTCTGAAATCACCGTAGCATGTGTCATTTTTCCCATGCCACATGCCATGCGATGTGCCACCTTGATATGAAAATGGCCTTGGATTTTTAAAAATTAAAAACAAGAATTTACGAGAAGAATTACATATACTACATGCGTTTTAGAGATTTATCAGAAGGCAGATGGATGAATAAATCCACATTAAAACTACAGTAATAAAAATAATAAGTAAAACATATGAATACTTTTTTCCTAGAACCAGTTTGTCTCCTCAAACCCATCAGATATCAATAGATTCCTGTTGATATCTATCTAATAACGAAATATAGCAGGAATATTCGGCATAATTAATGAATCAGCACAATATCAAAGTATCGTTTTTATTATTATACTCATTATCATCACTGTCATTGTCATTGCCATTGTGTTATCATTGCTATTGTTATAATTATTATAGTTTCATCATTTATCATTACAGTGGCTAACATCACCACTACGTGAATATAACTTTAACAGATAATGCTATAGCATGGTAAGAATGTGGAAGTCAATCTAATCACTTATGCAAATGCTGTAAAACAGTTATTTTTTGGACAATTATGACCCATATGTTTAGCATGTTGATGTGGCAATGGGTGCAAGCATTTTATTACTAAATCTACACAGAAAACTATCGTTAGGAGGGGTGTCGAAATCCTTAATAGCGAACAGAACCTTATGTTACGGAAGAGTTGGTATCTTGGAGTCAGGGGCGTCACTTCATGTTATGAGTTGGGGGGGTGACGGGTAAATTTGCCCTGAAAAAATAATTTTTGCCCTGCAAATAAGAGAAAATTTGCCCTGCAGAACTAGATTTTGCCCTGCAAAAAGAGGCTTTTTTAAGAGTTGGGGGGTGAACCATCCCCCCATACCCCCCCTTAAGTGACGCCCCTGCTTGGAGTTCGAATTGGTCTCGCTCTGATGTATCGAATAGTTGTTATGGAATTCCTATGCATTCACTGAGACACGATCTTATTCCCGAAAACAATGGAAAATACCTTGCAATATGCAGACAAGCCACAGGTCTTCTAGGATTTCGACGAGATTTTTTTTTTTTTCTTTTTCTTTTTGAAGGACCAACGCTGCGAGATGTATATATGGCGTCAGCAAAACAGCAGGTAGGTAACGACACCTCTCCCCCCTCCCATTTCCTTTCGATCGATATTTTGAAATAAGATTCTTGTTTTAATAGAAATGAACGCTAAAGCATTTTTATATCTTTTTTAGATCTCATGTAGTGTCATCATTTAACAGATTTGAAGCCGAGAATGCGACCGCAAGCAGGAGTGGCCGAATCACCGCAGGATTGTTTGGGTGGATGCACGCAAGTGGTGTCGGGAAGGTGACGGTTCTGGCCGATTTACTTGCAACGAATATGTAGAAATCCTTGAGGAGGTTTTCCTCCCAACAGTTAGGGCTATGATGTTTCCTGAAACGGATCCCTTCTATCTTATTTAGGACAACAGCCCCATCCATACCAGCCGTTGTCCAAGATTGGTTTCGTGAACATCCAGACATTGCGTTTCTGCCATATCCATCCCGATCTCCAAATCTCAACCCAATTGCAAACGTGTGTCAAAATACATGTATCAAGGCCACACTCGTAATCGTATCGCAGTCTTGAATAATGCCTTGCAAGCATAGGAACGTCTATGCTGTGAGGAAGGCGTGCGTTGACATGCGTCTGTCTCGACGCTTGAACTGTGTGGGTAGCAGAGGGTAGGAACACAAAATATTAAAACTTGAATATGTTACCAGTATTTTATTTTCCTTGTTTTGACTTTAATGAAATATGTCAATGTCATTAGGTACTATAATAAAGATAAACCGTGTGACTTAAACTTCGATAATGTTCTTCTCTCTTATTAAAATAAAATTCTTCTCTCTTATTAAAACTCTTTATAAACAGTCTCACGAGTTTCAAGATAAATTTAAGTCACGTAATAATAATAATAATATTAATGTTAATCATAATCATTATAATAATAATAGTAATAAAAATAGTAATAATAATGATAATGATAAAATAATAATAATAGTAATAATGATAATAATAATAATAATAGAAATAGTAATAATGATAAAGATTATAATAATGATAATAATAATAGAAAAAATAAAGATAATGATAGTAATAATAATGATAATAACAACAACAATAATAACAACAGTAATAATGACAATAATGATAATGGATTAGTGATAGTGATAACAATAATGCTAAGGATAATAATAATGATAGTAATAATAATTATGATAATAATAATGATAGTAATAATAATTATGATAATAATAATGATGATGATGATTTTAATAATAATAATGGTAATAATAATTATGATAATAATAATCATGATGATGATGATGATGTTAGTAATAATAATGATGATGATGATGATAATGATGATGATGATAATAATAATAATGATGATGATGATGATAATAATAATAATGATGATGATAATGATGATGATGATGATAATGATGATAATAATAATAATAATAATAATAAAAATAATAATAATAATAAAAATGATAATAATAACAATAATAACAGTAGTAGTAGTAGTAGTAATATAATGATAAGAACATAATAATGATAACAGTATTAATAATGATGATGATAATGATAATGATCATCCCCATGTTGATAATGACGATGACCATGATTATGATAATACAGATGGCGACAAAGATAAGGAAAAAAAAACTTTCCTTTTTTATTATTTTATAAGATTTACCAAACCTTTTCAAAAAGACGGTTTCCTAGGGGATTTCAAAGGTGTTACCCCAGAGTTTCTGATGTAA